GTGTGTGTGTGTGTGTGTGTGTGTGTGTGCATGTCTTTGAGACAGGGCCTCACTGTGCAGCTCAGGCTGACCTTGAGCTCACTGTATAGCCCAGGCTGGTCTCGAACTCAAAAGAATTCTCCTGCCTCAGCCTCCCAAGTGCTGGGATTACAGATGTGGGCCCCTATGTCTGGCTCCCTTTGGCCTTTTTGGTTTTCACCAGCTCACGTGTTGGCTGTCGATGTCCACGCTGGACTGTGTGCCTGCAAGGAGGGGCCTCACCTGCTTTGGGGTCACCTGGTGCCAAGGATAGTAGATGACATGCCTGCCTGTTGTGGGTTCGAATGCTCACGTGTGTGTGTGTGTATGTGTGCGTGTGCCCACTCCTGTGTCCAAGGGTATGCAGGGTCCCTCTCTCTCTTCATTACCCCTAATGGGGGTAGGAGTGGGGGTGAAGCAGTATTGTGATCCCTGGATGGAGCCAGAGTAGGGGCCACCGGACCCCTCTCAGGTTCACAAAGGGTAAGCAGGAAATGTCACCCAATGTGGGGAGGTTGGGGAGCTCTGGGGAGGGACTTCTCCCCCACCTGCTCCTCAGCCACAGGCTTTCCAAGGTGGCCTGGGGCTGCGCATGCCCCTGCATGGTGTGCAGCTAGATCCCGCCTCCAGCCCCCATCCTGGCTGCACGTGTATCTGTGTGCGTGCGTGTCGGGGAGGTGCACACCTGCATGCACACCTGCTCTGCGCAGCTGCCTCTGGCCGGCCCTTGTGCACAGTGTGTGCGCCCACAGGGTTCCTGGCTGTGTGGCGCGAGTAGACCTGGCCGGGTGAGACACACAGGGAGGTGCACCTGCTAGTGTGGGCTCTGCTGGGCAGGGATGTGTTGCTCATGCACCAGCACCTGGAATAGGTACTGGCACACAGTAGGGCCAGGCAAACTTGGTGGATAAAGACACGAAAGCATGTGTCCGCCTGCCTGTTGTGGGTTCGAATGCTCACGTGTGTGTGTGTGTGCCCGCTCCTGTGTCCAAGGTGTGGATGACATTGCTTCTACCCCCCCCATTCATCTTCCAAACTCCTCGGGAGCCAAGGCTGGGCACTGGGTCCCTGTGGGCGTGGGCGGAGCAGGGGGCCGCCTCCTCTGGGGAAACTGGATCCCAGGACGTGCAGAACAGCAGGGAACAAGGCGGCTCCTTTGTCCCCCATAATCCCTTCTAGCCCTTGCCCCCTCCCTAAACCCACCATGGTTAAGGTCAAGTTTGGGGGCTCTGAGGGTCTAAGGTGTCATCTCAGGATCCCCTTCTTCGGCTGTCACTGCCTCCAGGACTTCTGCGTGGCCTAGAACGTGTGCCACACTCCAGATGCCTCCCACACCTCTGCATGTCGTGCCCCAGCCAGGCCTGCCTCATTCTGTGCCAGGACCCTGTCCACTGCCCGCCCTCCTTCCGCAGGGTGTGACTCCTTCCCTCCCTCATGGGCAGCTCCAGGGCTCAGCCCCAGGTATAAAGCCACTTAGGGGACAGGATAGGTGCCCTGGAAAGACCCAGAGACTGCAGAGAGGAAGGAGCCTGGGAGGCAGCATGAGCTGTCCGCTGGGTGAGTGAGGGGCAAGGGCATGGGGCGCAGAGGCTGGGAAGGAAGTGCCCACCTGCTGAACCTCTGACTCCACACCATAAAGCCTTGTGCATTGTGCATTCAACAAATACCCACTGAGTCCCTAGTATGTGCTAAGGACAGTTGGTATCTTTGTAGGGCTACGTCCCTCCCTCGGGACACCAAAATCTGAGGATGCTCAAGTCCCTGATAGAAAATGGTATCATAGAGCTGGGGAGATAGCTCAGTAGAATAAGCACTTGCCTGGCAAGCGCAGGGTCCTGAGTTCAATCCCCGGTTCCGCGCAAAAAAAAAAAAAAAAAAAAAAGACAATGCCATTGTGCAGATAGGACATGGGCAATAACCAAGTAAATTACTATTCTTATTTTTTAGTCTTTTTT